ATTAAACCCACCAATGGCCCTTTATAACAGAACTAAATTCATCCTCCAAAGAACCACGTTAACAGAATTAAACTCTTCCCCCAAAGAACCATGTTAACAGAATTAAACTCTTCCCCAAAGAACCATGTTAACAGAATTAAACTCTTCCCCAAAGAACCATGTTAACAGAATTAAACTCCTCCTCCAAAGAACTATATTAACAGAATTAAACTCTTCCCCAAAGAACCATGTTAACAGAATTAAACTCCTCCTCCAAAGAACCATGTTAACAAAATTAAACTCATCCTCCAAATAACCATGTTAACAGAACGAAAATTTATATCCCAAGACTTGTGCTAAAAATTCGAAACTCCATCTCTATAGCAGTTCTAGCTTATTGAATCTTCATCTCCAAAAACTCGTGCTGACAAAACGAAACTCTGTTTCCATAGACTCGTGCTAACAGAACGAAACTCCGTCTTTAAAGACTTTCTCCAAACACCCGAGCTAATTTATTGAAACGTTGTCCCCCAAAACCCGTATTAGCAGAACGAAACTTCGCCTCGAAATATTATTGCTAACAAAACGAAACTCTGCTTCCAAAGGTTTGTGATAACAGAATGAAACTTCGCCTCCAAAGAACCAAGAGTTGTACTAAAAACTCGAAATTCCATCTCTAGAGCAGTTCTAGCTTATTGAATTTTCATCTTCAAAATCTCGCGCTTACAAAACGAAACTCTGCTTCCAAAGATTTGTGATAACTGAACGAAACTTCGCCTCCAAAGACTCCTGATAACAGATCGATACTCCGAGAATGATACCCACACCTTACTTTATAATTGTTTGTTTGTTTACATTTGTCATTCTTGAAATGTTTTTTATTATTTGTGGATTACAAGATAGTTTTCTGTTACTAAAAAAAACCAAATTATATGATTGACAATAACTATTAGATTTTGTTTTTTAACTTAACCAATATCGTGTAGTTTTGTAGAATATCTTTAAGCAGAAGGCGAGTTATGAAAGCAATTAAACTCCTAATAGTGAAACAGCATGTGTTGTTATAACTGTACATTGTTTATAAAAGTTGTAATTTATGTTCCTGACAGGGTTGATAAGATTACAAGAGCTGTTGAAAGCGCCCTCTTACAAGGACGTGAAGATTACCATCCATCAGCTTACGCCAGGATTGAGTTACAAGAAACTTTTGAAAGATATAGGGAAACGAGGAGAAACTAACATCATTTTAGACATACCCGCCGAAAAAGTCCCCTTGGTTTTTAGAGAGGTATTTCTATATCACATGAACATGTCTTTTTTTTTAGTTCGGTGACCTACAACTTTGGAGTAATGGTTAGTGTTTGTCAGAATATAAAATATATATTCTTCCTTTTTGCCAATTGTCAAAATAAAAAGGCTTTTAGTTATATATCTTAACAGTATAAGTATATACTGTGTTGTTGTTGGGCGTAGGATTATTATACAGTAGGTGTCTGTGACTTGCTGGCGATAAATTCAACAATAAATGAATAGCATGTACAATAAATTCTTAAACACTATAGATATTATGGCCTATTCAATTACTTTCGAATTTCAGTTGACAAGCCGAACTATCTTCTCTATTACTATCGCACTAGTATTCTGTTTGTGATTCACTTTCAATTGTGGCGCGAGTTACTGTAATCGTTTGGTTTTCTTTCGTCTAAAGATCCTCTGTTCCTTTTGTCAAAGTACACTCAGGCTGATTCAATTACTTTAGAACCACGCTTTGATGGAATAAGTTATTGTTTTTTTTTATCTCCGATTCTACTGTTAGTCTTACTCTAGCATAGTAACGTTAGGCTTATGTCAGTCGTTAGGCCTATCACTTCTATGGTAGTTAACTTCACGCCAAATCTTTCTTTTTATAACTTTACTTTCTTCTGTTATTATCTGTCTGCTGTCGTCTCCCGTTATTTATATCGTTATCACCTAATCGTCTGTCCGCTTCTATATTCTCGACGTCAACATATTGCATATGACGTTCAATATTCTCAACATCAATCAATTATTAACAAAACTTCCTACAATCGTGACAACTAATTATCAACATTACACGGAGGTGGCGTTTTTCGTAAAATTACCATTTTTATGTTTTATTAAGTAATTGTCTAAACTAATAATATAATATTTACATATCTCATATTTTACACCCATATTATACTCGATATATTGAAATAAACACAAGAACTAGGAAGTAATTATTTGGTTTATTGTTAGTTTGTTATTTCTGACAAAGCAAACCATTAGAATATTTTTAACTTGATAACAAATAATCTTATTTTAGTTATTATTCGGGAAGAGAATATATAAATTTAATTCTTCTTAGCATATTACTTAATTTTTACTCGTACTTCATCTGTGTCGACAGAAAAATATGTCTCGAGGCATATGTTGGAAATGAATCAAATCAAATTTTTTTCAGAAGGAAGCTAAGGTAGATTTTTTTTGGGGGGAGGGGCATTCACCCTCAGAACATCTTTACAAATACAGTGACAATTTGGGACTATTTTAATGCAGTGAGAAGAATTCTAGGGGGAAAACACAAGCGAAATTAAATTCAAATAATAAGTAATTTAATGACCAACCTATGTTACCTATTGTTTAACTTAATCTTATATTTTAACTCTCTAACTTCAGCTGCCACATAGGATTTGTTTCTTGTGAGTCAAGATTTTGTAACAAAACCTCGAGTGCAGTTCAGAAAATCGTAAACTTGCCGACATTTATGGAAGTTAGCGAAATGAGAGTGGGTGCCAGTCCCCTGTATCGGGTATGAGGTGGTGGGGGAGAGGTTATGTAGTTTCTAAGTTGTTCATGTGTGTAACAAACATTCTAAACTTGATTTAAACTTTATCAATCCTGACGCTGCAAGTTGATTGTGTTATGTAGTTTCTAAGTTGTTCGTGTGTGTAACAACAATTCTAGTCTTGATTTAAATTTTATCAATCCTGACACTGCAAGTTGATTGAGTTATGTAGTTTCTAAGTTAAGTTGTTCACGTGTGTAACAAACATTCTAGTCTTGATTTAAACTTTATCAGTCTTGACGCAGCAAGTTGATTGAGTTATGTAGTTTCTAAGTTAAGTTGTTCACGTGTGTAACAAACATTCTAGTCTTGATTTAAACTTTATCAGTCTTGACGCAGCAAGTTGATTGAGTTATGTAGTTTCTAAGTTAAGTTGTTCACGTGTGTAACAAACATTCTAGTCTTGAT